TGTTCAAAGTGAATGTGCTATTGTTGTATATATTATATTAAATTCTATCGCTTCAAACATGCATGTCCTTCACAATATTCAGAAAGTTAAATACTGCAAAAGAAGTATTAGTAAGCTCAACCATTTTTCAGCAGCCCTTATCACAATCACAACATGTTTCACCTTGTATTTTCTACATTTAAGGCTTGCCAATAAAACACTTAAATGTTAATAGTTCTTTATTCTGCACTAAGCTACGCACCAGAGAAATATTCTCCGTCAATACATCTAAATTTGTTTTATAAGTACACTAAAGCACAAACTAGCTTGTACGTGTGTAATTTGAACACTGAGCATTGCAAAAACAAAATTCATTCTGTTCACAATCGTCTGCCGTCTCCATATACTCACGTTTGTCATTTAAATACAATGAATTTTTGTTTTTACAATAATGATAGAAATTATGAATAAACTACTCGCAAAAATTTACATATTAGTTATAGAGTTACTGCTTCATATCTATCATGAATAATTCTCGTGGAAGCAATGCATAAGCACTTCAAATGTTTCAAGTGTTCGGTTTCTGTTTGTCATAAAAAATGTGGATTATGAAAACATTCAAATTATATTGCTTTTGCGAAGCTTACATAAGCATTTCAAAAAAACAACAAACGAACGACAATTTCGTGAAAATAGTGTGCTGGAAAAAAGTGAAAAGCATATTTTATTTCAAAATATTTTCGTGAATAATTGATTTCCAACTAAAATAAACATTATTCACTCACAGAACAAATGCGTGCTTTAACTTAGTTAATAACGTGGTGCATAAAGATGGCGTGCGGTGAATTTCATGTTGACGATACAGACGGTATTTAGATTTCGCTTAATTCAGATATATGGTTTTATCATTAGCAATGAGAACAGTCATTTTGATGTTTGTTGATAATCAGTTTAAGTTGGAGTCGTACTTTGCTCGTCGTTATTCATCCTTTGATTCTCTTATTCATCAGGTCACATCTTTAATATGTTCACCTGTTCAAGGTAATTGTGTTCTGTTGCGTACATCAAATCGGATTGTAGCAGAAAGTCCGGACGTCCCTTCTTCATTTTAATACATCTCTTTTACAAGATTCATAAATAAATTACTACGAAAGAAGTATGAGTAAACTAAATTTCCGATATAAAAGCTCCTAAATATCGTCCTCATTGTCAACTAAAAACTCATGGTACGCTGACTTGGTGAACCGCATTGTCAACTTAGTTGAAGCAAGTATTTTCTATGAGGATGAATAATTTTTTGAGTTAGGTATCAATTATTCACGACGTTATTTAAACTGAAATATTTTTGTCAGTCATTTTTGCATGTTGGATTCGAGAGGGTAGAATGGCTGATTCTCTTTCACTTCTTTTTAAGCTAGAATCACCATGGTTATTTTATTTTCATATTATATAAGAACTGAAAAATACTGACGGCCAACTATAGTCATAACTAAAAATTTACCAAATAGATGAACATTCCTTATATTTAGTAGATATATGCACTGGACTCAATGAGAAGATTGTACTTTTTTTCCAAAACAATGTAACATCACTTATGCTCTGATCATGTTCAATGCATCGATAACTGAAAAACATAATTTATTGCTTTATTCAGAATTTAATAACCGTTATTCGGTACAAAGTTCATTCATACAGTGATCAAATGTATATCAATAAATATAGTAAGGTAAGTGATGCGTTTTGCTCATAAATTTCGGTGATTGGATTGCATCGTGTTAAATCAATGCTAAAAGTGATTGATGTGAGTTTGATAACTTTATATTATTTGGGTTTTAATTTTTCAAATTTGATTTAATGAACTATTGCCTTAATTGTGTCAGTAAAGTGAACTGCATTTAATGTGATATATATATATATATATACATATATATATATATATGCATACATATATAGGTTTATAGATCCATATATTCATACAAAGATGGAAAATAATAAGGACAGTTAGATAAAACATGGTGATTTGCCGCATTAAATTGATAATTCTTCACAAACTCTACACGGAGATGAAACTGAAATTCTGTTTTCTAACGCAAATTCGGTAACGCAATACGCACTTGAAAGTAAAATAACAGTTGTAGAAGCAAGTGCTTATATGTTTTTGTAATGGATGTAATAAAATATCATCTTTGCCTGTATCCAAAATTTCTGCCTATTCTGTCGCAGGTGGAATTATCGACTTTCTACAATACGAATATTTCAACCATGATAACATCTGAATCCAGTGCAGTGTTGCGAGAAAATCAAACTGAAAAGAAGTGCAATGAAAGCTTGTGCATGTAAGTAATAGGCATCGACTAAAATGTCAACATTCAATTGACAGATTCGAACAAGATTGTTGGACGAAACAGTTTCGTTTATCTGGTCTTGTTTTAATGTAAGTCATGAAATTTGATAAACGTGGTGATTTTATTTTGTACATATTCACGGCAGTTCATCCACGTTAGCAGTCGAATATAAATAAAGATTTATTTCAATTTTCAATTCCACATATAATCACTATAAAAGCATTTTTGTAAACGTGCCATTGTTTCAACTGATCATAAATCTGAAATAAATCAAATACAACTTTCATGACGATCTCTTATTAGATGTTTTTATTGTCTACAGATCTAGCAACTTTTCGTCAATAAGCATCTTAAATCAGATCCTTTTTCTCGATTGTTGCCACTTTGGCGCCTATATTGTTGATTTCACTTGCTTTGTTTACTCAATGAAAACGTCATTTTATTTTGCTGTACCCTTCATTTTGTTATTCCAGATTTATCGCACTAATATTTGCACTCATTATACTGCTCAAAAAAAACCTACACTCTCCATCTTCTAAGAACGCCATCTTCATGATTATAACGGTTAGTTTAAAATGACGATTTTAATCTTGTAAATTTCATTCAGATTCAAGGCTGTAAATACATAAACTATGGACAGTTTATAAGCCTTAAGAAGTAAATTTTCGACATCTGTTGAGCATTTAACAACATTAAAAATTAATCCTTCCAAATTGATCTCGATAATTATTCAAAACGGAGCTACTGAAAAGCTTATTCAATAACGTCAATCATTCATAACTATCAGAGTTTGGGTGAACATTAAATTGGACTTCGCAAACAGTTAAATAAACGCCTGTTTGAATAGTTGTTCACATATTATTTCCGATAAAATCGATGCACAGAAACACTAAAATAAATCATTTTCTATATTCTAGTTTGATCTTAAATTTTGTTTTGAACAGTGCGAAATCTGATTTTCATGTGTTATGTTTGGTACGTGAGAAGACACATCTAAAAGTTGAATGTGCGATGAATCGGCGAATTCATTCGCCAAATATTTTAGGGATAACACTGTTGTAGAGTCACGTAAGAGGCCTTTAACATACACACAGTTCAAATTTATAGTAGACATTTTTTGTTTTAATCAATAGAACGCATAACAAGTAATTTTTATAGATATTGATTGCTTCATTTGCCAATAATCAACACATTACTTATTTCTTACTCAGGCGATCATCATGACAATCGGTGTTGTATTACTGAACCCACCTGGCGACTGGTACGAACACGTCATCGCTGATATTGTGCCAACAGTGTTAACGATCTTAGCTATGTTAATTGGTATAAAAATGAAAGTTTCTGCACAAAAATGGGTGATATTGTTATTTACTTTTTGTTGTTTATTGTTAGCAGCTGGAATCGCTTTATCTTTTCTAGCCATAAATCACAAGTTTCAAAACCAAGTGAGCATATTGCCAGTATTGACTTTAGCATATGACAAATTATTACTGAATACATTGACTTCATAAATAGTAATCGCTGGATTATTCAAAAATAAACATAACTGCATGTCATATCTTGTTAATGAGTGTTAGCTAATAACTAATAAATAAAATATACACAACTATCAGTATTATTATCTCCCATGTTTGTTCAATAAATTCATTTCATTCATTCACGATTACTAGACAGCACAGAGGATTTACGCTAGACGTTTTTCATTCTCTGTACACAATTTTATATTTGTAGATTTATGAAACATTACCTTCGACGCGAACAAAATATTTGTGTTACTTAAATGAAGATTGACAAATCTGTTCAATCTGTTCTGTTGAATACAGAAAATTGCGTTCAAATAGAATATCAAGACGCCCAGGCATTGTTACATTTATACATATCACCTTTGCAATATTCATTTATTAAAATCACTGCAAACGAAGAATCAGTAAACTTAATCTTTGAATTACAAGCAGTCATGAGCGACAAATATTTGTCACTAAAATTCATCGCAAATTGACTTATTAAACCACATTATCAACGTAGTTAAAGCCAACAATATCTGTGAGTATGCATAGTGCTTTTTTGAATTATATATCAATTATTCATGAAAATGATAATTTTCGTCTATGTTCCTTTTGCAGCCTATTTTTGCAATTATGTCGTTGATTTGTTGGAGTTTTGCTATAGTTATCGTAAGTTTCATAAAAGCAATATAACTTATATAGTTTGATATGTCTTTGCCAATTGAGCATTTTCAAATTTCGTATGACAAACTGAAACTTTGAATCTGAAACATTTGTAGTGTTTATGCATTCCTTTCGACCGAATTATTCATGAAACTTTAGAAGCTGAAATGTTGATTCTTTCAATTTCATAATACGTGGGCTTGAATACGGCTTGACATATTTGAGAATCTATCTAATATTTTTGTCAACAGGCTATGTAACGATGAGACGTGTTTCACTGATTGCTTGTCTGAAAATATGTATTGATCGAATAATCAAAAAAACCATTCACTCTCCACTTGCCAATTCTGAATGATGTCAAAGCACTAAAAAAATATTTAGTTTCACCACATGTTAATTTCTCATTTTGATACTTCATTTAGAAGGCGTTGCCGATGTGAAAATTTCGGTGTATTTGTGCTGTGAGTTACGAACAGTCTGGTCACTCACATATTTATCAGAGTATTTTTGAAGAATACATTTGAAAGAACTTTTTTATGAAAGTTAAATAGACGTAAGGTTGTTATTGTTAATAATTAAGGGAGAAAATAACGCGGTCTGAAAAGAATATAAAAATGTTGGAATTTTAAATTCAAAGAATGTTTCGAAAAAATTGTGTCTGACAGGATTATTTGAAATTCATAGACGCACAGATACAACGCAGAACTTCCTACGTACGTACGCCAGTTCCGGTTACAATACCACACCGGCACGCAGAAGCAACTGTCAGTTCAAATCCAAGATTGATATCGATTGTAGTAGTTTTAGCAGTAATTCAGAAGATTTGGGATGAAAGATATGATATGAGATACAATTTTAAGGAAAAACATATCCGACGGTTAGAATTAGAGCAAACACGAAGAGTGGAAGCATCTGCGCCATAGCATGTCGTGCATAATCCATGTCGTTCAAGGTCCTTAACATTTGGTGA